AGGTAAAGTAGCAATAGATTGTGGAAACTATACAGCATAGACCGATATGGTTGAAGCAATGGCTATGTTAGTGTGACACATTTGTTGGTACCGGTATCCCTTGTGTTGAATCGACGAGAATACAGGGCTGCTGAGCAGTGTCATAAAGCACTAACTGACCGTAGAACTTTTAATTGAACAACTTGGCTATTAGGAAGTAGTGAGATAGCCGACTTTGGTGCAAAGCTAAAGATTGGTTGATACTCGATACTACACTCATTGAGATCGGAATTTTGGGATATTTCGTCCGCAAGAAAATATTGATTATGTTAAGACAATGCCCAATGAAGAAAGATCAATGATATTGAGATCCCTTAGAACCCGATTACTTTCTAGGACAGGTTAAACTAACTAAACTTCAAGAGGGTACTTACCTATGAAACCCATGCAACCCTAAACCTAAGTCTTTTATGTGCTTTGTTTGTGATTATTATTCATGACATCATAAACATCATAACATCATAAGCATTCTCGCTAACCATTTCAAGGATTTAGGAATTTATATTTGTTCTGTTTTGTAGGTAATGACTTCCACTCGTAGGAATACCATCTGAGTCAACTTCGTTAAAGTGCATCCTCAACTTCAAGAGTTAGCATCAAGAGTGACTGGAGATTCTCCATTCACCAAGAAATATGGTCGGCTTCTCAACTTGGCTACCTCAAACTTCCAAGAAGAAATGATGTGTGTGCTTTTCCAATTCTTTGATCCTTTGCATCATTGCTTCACCTTTCCCGACTACCAAATGATGCATACATTAGAAGAATTCTCTCAATTGTTAGGAGTGCCTGTGCTTGATCAAATACCATTCACCAGTTTAGAGGAGACTCCAAAACCCAAATTTATTTCCAAAGCCTTGCATCTGAAGAGATTTGACATTGTGACGAATTGGGAGACAAGAAGTGGAGTTAAGGGTTTCTTAACCAAATTTCTGTTGGAGAAGGCTCGTTTGTTTTAGGAAGATATGGACTTTCAAGTTTTTGAGGATGTCTTGGCCCTTCTAATCTATGGTTTGGTTCTATTTCCCAATCCGGACCAACTCATAGATGTGAATACCGTCAAGGTTTTTCTCTCTCGTAATCCTGTACCTACCTTGCTTTGAGACATTCTACATTGTTTCCACACTCGCACCACAAAGAAAAGGGGTACTCTTTTGTGGTACATTCCATTACTGTCTAGGTGATTTATTTCGCACCTACCTCGATCAAAATTAAAGAATGAGCAAGGCTTGACATGGTCTCAGAGGATGATGTCACTCTCGCACTCGGATATCCATTGGTGTTCTTGATCTTTGGAGGATATTACCATCATTGACCGTTGTGGGGAATTCCATAATGTTCCAATATTAGGAATTAGGGGAGGTATTACCTATAACCCTTCTCTTGCATTACATCAGTTTGGGTATGCACGAAGAGATGGTCCCCATGATGCGCTCATCCAAGGTGTGGTATTCGACTACGAAGGCGACGACCAAGGATATCGTCAAAGGTTTATACGAGCTTAGAGGATAGTAAAAAAAAGTAGATAGTGAGACATTGGGGAATAAAAATTCCACCCCCTTGATCCTTACCTGAAGTGGTTACGAACTCGTGCTCAAAGTCTCGTGATGCCTTACCCTGCCATCCTACCTATCGTCATGGAGCCTATTGCCGAGGGAGATGTTCCTTATACTATTCTTCATCCTGACATGCCAACTACTCTCGAGGATCTGCAAAGATCATAGATTCAACTCAAAGGAGAGAAAGACACCTTTGAAACCCAGTTCTACGCAAGCGAGAAGAAGGTTTTGGAGCTCATGAGACAACTTCATGAAGAACGGAGTTTGAATGCCTACATTGCACCGAAGAGGATGCGCTCATGGGAAGCTTGAGTCCTTTTTTTGTTTTTAGGAGTTCATTTGTATTATCTTTGTTTCATCCATTGTAGGCCCAAGAGGCATCTTGTAACCATTTGAACTTATTAATGCAATTAGTGTTTGTTCCCTCTTTGTCTAAGCAAATTTAAATCTTAAAAATCCTTGAAATCATTTGCATACACATTTCATGCATCATAACATAAGCAGGTTTTCAGACACAGGGTTCCTCATCTTTCTACTGTTGATTTCAGTAAGATGGATATCGAGCAAACTGTGAAAGAATTCTAGAAGTAGAATTCTCAATTTCAAGAAACCTTGCTCACCTTAGACATGGGACAACAAGAGCTGATGTCACTTCTGGTGGCCAAAAAGAAGACAAAGAAGAAAGTCGTAATCAACATGGGAAAAAGTTTCAAGGGCCCTGTTCGACGGGTTCAAATGGAAGAAGACTCCTCCTCCGAGGATGAGAATCAGAATGAAGACGCAAGGAGCACCCATGATGGGGTTGCAAACAATCAAGCTTCTGAGGATGAAGATTACTTTGGTGAATAATATCCACCGACTGAGGATAAGTATTAACAAATGGAAGATAGGTTGAAAGCTATGGAAATTCAAGTTGTTCCTGGCTTGATTTTGGTGATTCAGGCTTAGTTCTTGGGGTTGTTATTCCCCATAAGTTCAAAATTCCAATCTTTGCTAAATATGATGGTGTTGCGTGTCTAAAGCTTCATTTGAGGTCATATGTACGCAAAAGATAACCGCATACCACTGACAATAAGCTCTTGGTACACTTCTTTCAAGAGAGTCTGTCTGGGACTCAATTAGAATGGTTTTACCAGTTGGAGGATTCCAACATTCATACTTGGGAAGATCTGGCCACCGCTTTCTACCATCAATATCAGTACAATTATGATTTGGCACCGACTAGAGTTTAACTTCAAGGAATGGCAATGGATACTAATGAAGGGTTTAAAGAGTGCGTGCGAAAATGGAGAGACCTTGCGGGTTGAGTGCAACCACCACTGACGGATAGGGAGTTGGTGGATATGGTCATGGGAACATTAACTGGACCCTTTTTCAACTTGTTAATTGGGAGCTCATCGTCCAGTTTCACTGAGTTAATTCTGACTGGTGAAAGGGTCGAGAGTGGTATCAAGAGTGGGAAAATTCCCATGGCATCTGCTTCTACATCAAACACTATAAAGAATCCCTTTACTGGCAAGAAAGAAGCCAATGTTGTGTATGGGTCAAAGGCCCATACCAAGAAGGATCACCACCTATCTGTCAATGTTGTTTTGATTTCCAATCCTCCATCTACTCAAAGACAACCACAACAAGCTAATCGTCAAAGGTCTGGGGTTCCAAGAAGACAATTCACGAGAATTAACATGTCACTGTCCCAAGCCTTGCAACACCTGTTGAAGGCCAACTTGGTAACATTGCATGATCCACCATCAAATCCCAATGTTTCATCACCAAAATACAATCCTAAGGCCAAATGCGCCTATCACTCCAATAGCTCTAGGCATGATACTGATCAGTGTTGGGCTCTAAAAAACAAAATTCAATACTGTAGCGGTGAAAATCGGAGATCAAGCTATTAATTAACTTGACTCGCAAAAGCAAGAGTCGCCACCGCGCTTTATTATTTCCAAAGGAAAAGGGAAAAGAGCGAAATAAAACCCTAAAATATGCAATGTAAAATAATACTTAAAAATAATAAAAATACAATGCGTTTTTGAAAGAGATCGAGAGTTTGGGGGTTGGTTATACAATGGGAAGGTATTAGCACCCAATGCATCTGCGGTACTCCGCAGGAACCTTTTGAAATATCTGTTTTTTGGTTTAAAATTGTTTGTTTGATTAAAATGGTTTATTTGGTCAAAATGGGTATGGATGAGTTTTGAAGATACGACGACCTAGTGTCGAAGTTTTGACTTAAAAGGTGTGAGTTTAAAAATTGCATCTTTTGGGAAAATTATCTTAGGTTTAGCAAAATAGTAAACAAACAAAAAAATGAAAAAGGGTATTCGCACGATCGGATGAGATGTGTTTGATAACATGAAGTCAACAAAGTTAAAACATTTCCCTTGGATTGAATCGAGCGAGCAAAATAAAATAGACATCAAAATATAAGCAATCAAAATTCACAAGAAAATAAATATAACGAAACAGATTAATGACCTAAAGGCATCGAGAAATTAAAATGATAAAGATATTTAAATAAAATAAAAGAGAATGTAACTAATTATCTAAAGAAACTTATCTGAACTAAATTAAAAATTTAAGAACACTTGCTAAAATAATTCTAAACTAAATTACAAGTTCTAAGGTTATAAAAATAGTTCTGAGATTATTAAATTAAATCTAAACCAAATTAAAATGTAAATTAAGTTAAAATTATAAAATTACTAAGTTAAATCTAAACTAAATAAAATTCTAAAATTTACTAACTAAATTAAAATTAAAATTACTACAATAATTCTAACTTTAAACTAATTAGTTCTAATTAAAAAGGAATTTTTTGTAATTTTGTATGATTAAACTAATAAACCTAATATTAAATCTAATCAACTATATATTTTTAAATCTCCTAGATTAAATCTAAAACAAAACTTTAAAGTAAGTAGATTAAAACTAAATCAAATAAAAGAATAAAAGATAATGTTAAAACATAAAATATGGGGTGTGCTGATAATATTGGAGGGTATATTGGTTAGTAAACAAGGGCTCAAAGATTGAAAAGCCCAAACTTTTATAACAATAACCTAACCTAAAAAAATAGTAATAACATATTAAAAGATAATAATCATTAAAAAAAGGTGAAGAAGAAGTTACAGCAAGGGGTATCCCTCGTTCACATGTTGTTTATTATTTCTTTTTTCAACATTTATCTCCAACCAATCAATTAGTGACAAGTGGAAATAAAAACAATAATAAAAACTATACAATAATATAAACATACAGTGAGTGTGAATTGAAATCATTTGCAACCTACAATCTCCCTTTCACCTTCTCCCTTTGTCCCTCTTTTCTGAACATCATTAAACAACAACAAAAAAAATCAAATTAGAAGTCAATTAGCAGATAACATACGGAATTAGATCCATGCCGTCGATGATTGTCAGAGCTTCTTTTGGCGCAGATTCAGTTCTGTGGTTGCAGGGCGTGATTGGAGGTTCAGTTAGTGGCGGAAGGGAGTTAGCAATGGCGGTTGTTTGCTGGAAATCGCTTGCATTGCAGAATAAGTGGAAGAGAGCTGATAAAGGGAGGACCGTGTGGGTCTGCTTCTGGCGGTCGCATGCACAGAGGTGGGGATTGGAGCAGATCACTGGCGGTGTGGAGGTGCGTTGTTGAGTGCGGAAAGCCGGAAGTCGCCGACTGGATTTGTTCACGGTGGGTCTTGCGCCTGTGTGGTTGCAGATCCGCGACTGGAACAAGTAGCAGCAACTCTATTTGGAGTTCTTTTATTTTATTTTTTTCTGTAATACCCTTTTTCTATCATCTTCTTCCAATATTTCAAACAATAACTTCCACCAATATCAAGCAATACAAACAAAAATTTGAAAATCCAGAATGCAATTAATTCTGCGAGGAAAGAGAATGGAAGGTGTACCGATAGTGACGCATAAGCTTCATGCGGCGGAAAATGTGCGGCTTCAAATGGTGGTGGAGCATCGGAGATATGGTGAACTTTTTAGTGTAACCTGTGTTCAGTGACGGCTCACAGTTGGATGCAGGTCGCATGGCCGTTTTGTGGTCGTGGTGCTCAGTGGTTGAGCTGTTGCGACGTCGTCATCAGGAGGTGCTGCCGGAGGTTGGTCGATGTCCAGCGAAGGGGTGATGGAGTGGCAACGGTCCGATGGTTATCGTGTGCTGGAGATTGCACAGTCGATGTGGGTGGGTTGAAAGAAGAAGGAGGATGCAGGTGGCGTGAAGTCGCCTACATGTTGCTGAATGGACTGGGCATGTCCGGTTTGGAAGTAGCAGAGAAGCAGTGGAATCGGATGAGAAAGGAAGTATTTGGTTTTCACGATGATGATGGATGAGAGGAAGGAGAGAGGAGATGGTTTTGTGGGTGAGTTACAGTAAAAGGTTGGCGGATTTTTTATATGCTACAGATGAGTTGAATGAAAGGATAAATGTTGGATTTTTTGGGATAACAATGAGAATCCTCGTATTGTGTCTATGTACTGTTGTTGTTTTTTTTGTGTGAAGTTGGATGTCGATCCGCGTGAAGTTTTTGAGCAGTGTTTGAGACTGTTGATAAATATTTGAATGGATGGTGAGGATTTCAGCTTTTAGAAAAATGATTTATTTGATATCCAGTTTTGTTATTGCTGCAAAAAGTCATGAACAAATAATAACATAATAGTAACTTTATTTATTGGATGGTCCCACTCTGCAATTTTCTTTCTCTATTTTTGACAAAAACAAACAAATAATAGAATAATAGTAACAATAATATAAGAAGAAGAAAAAAGTATTAGTAACAATAAATAAAATAAAATAATAAAATGCAACAATGATAATAACAATAATGAGAAAAAAAATAAAGATAATTAGTAACAATAAAAGATGAAATAATAAAATGCAATAAAGATACTAATAATAATAATAATAATAATGAGAAAAAGGGAAAATAGTTAGTAATATCTAAAAGAAATAGAAATAGATTAAAATAAGAAAAAAATAATAATAAGACAGATTTTTGAACTAAAACAAATTCATTGGAAATATGATAGAAAATGCAAATGATAAACTATTTTAATTCTTTTTTTTAAATAGAAATTAAAATGATGAATAAAAACAAGAAAGTATGCGAAATGATCGATTTTTCAAATTAACGACAAAATATGCACCAGTCGAAAAAAGTGAAGGGGCGAAAAATGGGGTGCGACAGTTGTGCCTTGATAAATCAGTCTTCGAGAATCCATAATCAACCGTACTTTTGGCTTGGGAGACTCAAAACCTTAATTGAGGCGCGACACCTGATGCTCTTGATTCAGACCTGTCTCTGCACATGACACAAAAGAAAACATGAACATACACCTTTGTATGCGATTAGAAATTAGTGATACATATGCTAAAAATGTTCAAAACACTTGATAATCTTCGCATAGTCAAAGCTCGAAGGTGAGACGTTAAAACCGACCGTATTTCGTGACCTTGACTTATCTTAAAAAATGCAAAAATAAAAATGGGATCTTAGGTCAAAAATTGGGGTACAACAAATACCTTATTGACAATAAGACTATTGAGTTCAATCCACCGACAACTCTGAATGTTGTAACTGCACCAATGCCAAATCATGGCAAAGGTGTCAATGCAATTGAAGACACTGTTTTTGTTTCCTCTGTTGAAGAGATGACTACTCCACTGACCATTGTTAAAAAGAACCTGCTGAGAGCTGGGGTTTTCCATGGTTGTTTGGAAGACTGTAATTGTTGCACCGAACAAGTGAATGGATGCAAATGGCTGAAAGAAGGTGTTCAACGCCTGATAAATAGTCATGAGATCCTGTTTTAAAGAACTTCGTCCATCAAAAGTTTGACCGATAGAGCTGAAGACATTTCCATCATAACAATTTTTAACAACCCTCTTAGGATATCTTCAAAGGGTCCTATTATGATTACCAACAAACCAACGATTGTTCCCTTTATAATTACTGCTCCTGAGCCGATTCCTTACTCCTCCGATAAAGCAGTCCCTTGGAATTACGACGTTGAAGTTTACTATCATGGAATTAAGCAAGATTCCTGGATCAACAAAGACTAAATTGATGTCGTTACAAATATTGCTGGTTCTAGAAAGGTAACGAGAATGGGGAGGATTTTCTCTCCTAACATTTCACCTCCAATTACTACAGCTACACCAGTTCGCATTACCATTGATGAGCATAGTACTGACACTAGGGGTGAAGAGAAAGTAGTTGAGCTTTCCAGGACGGAGGCTCCAGCCAAAGACGTTACTACTAAGGAACCTTCCACCCAAGATATGGAAGAAATCTTGAAGATCGTAAAAAAGAGTGATTTCAAGATAGTAGAGAAACTGGGGCAAACCCCCTCCAAAATCTCTATGTTGTCTTTGTTGCTTTATTCTGATGCTCATGCCCAAGCTTTAATCAAATTTTTGAAGAAAGCGCATGTTCCTCAAGAGACAACAAATGATCAATTTGGAAACTGTGTGGCGAGTATGACTGCTGACAATGGATTGGGGTTCTCTGATGCTAACTTAACACCAGTTGGAAGGAATCATAACAAGGCTTTGCATGTCTCTATTGAATGAAAAATAACTACCCTGGCCCATGTCCTGGTTGATACTGGTTCTTCTCTAAATGTTCTACATAAAGGTGCCTTAGACCGATTAGATTGTGAAGTTTTGGTGTTAAAACCAAGTGACATAGTTGTGAGGGATTTTGATGGATCCAAGAGGATGGTACTTGGAGAAGTTCATCTCCCTATTAAAGTTGGTTCACAAAATTTCAATTCTACTTTTTATGTGATGTACATTCGTCCTGCTTACTCTTGTTTACTTGGGCGCCCTTGGATACATGGGGCTGGAGCAGTAACTTGCACCCTTCACCAAAAGTTGAAATATCCAGTCAAAGGAAAGATTATTACTATTTGTAGTGAAGAAGAATTCATGGTTATCCATCTCAATACATTAAAGTATGTGGAGATGGATGGTGAGTTCATAGAAACACCATGCTAAGCTTTCGAAGTGGTTCCTCCCATGGTTGACGCCACCAAAATCTCTTCTGACACTCCAAAAGCTAATGAAGTTGTGCCAAGGATGGTTTCACTTAAGGATGCCCGCGTTGTGATTATAGACGGAAGCAGTACAAATTGGGGACAAATACCTGACATTCCTTTCAAAGCAGACAAGTTTGGGTTGGGTTTCACTACCAAAGCTCAAAAGGAGGTCAGACGTGCTCGCATAGGAAAACCACCTCTTCGCATTGGTAATCATGAAGTGAATTCTATTGAAGACTCTGAGGACGATTGTGACTTTGATGAATGGGTATACCCGACTGCCGGAGAAGGGCTCAACAACTGGAATACAAAGGATTTCATTCCCATCTCCTTCAATGAGGAGTAATTACCATTTATTGTTTTGTGAATTCAAGAACTTTTGTATGTAATTTAATTCAAACAATGACTTTAAGCCATGTGCTTTGCCCAGGGCACCATGGTCCATTTGTTAAGAGTTTGTTCATTTTCATATACCATATGATTATTTAATGAAAAACATTGGACTCTTTGCATTCAAATTTTGCGCTCATTGTCTTTCTTTCATCTTATTTGCATTTTTAAAGTAGCCATGTATCTTACTTGCACACATCCACACTTGCAGATCCTCATCCACTCCGGATCTCATTGACAATGACTCTGCTATTCCCAGCTATGACTTCTGATGCAAGAGGAGAAACCCATTCATCCTCACGAAGAGCCAGTTGAAGTGATCAACCTAGGTATTGAGGAAGACAAGAAAGAGGTTAAGATCGGCACTAACTTGGAAGACAATATCAAAGGCAGATTGGTCCAAATGTTACATGACTATGTCAAGGTATTTGCTTGGTCGTATGAAGATATGTCGGGGCTTGATACTGACATTGTGGTTCATCGTCGTCCCACAAAGGAAGAAAGTCCCCTAGTCAAGTAGAAAGTTCTTCGTATGCAGTCTGACATATCTGAAAAGATAAAAGCCGAGGTAATGGAGCAATTCAATGCAGGTTTCCTGGATGTGACATCATATCCTCAATGGGTGGCGAATGTGGCCCCCGTACCAAAGAAGGATGGAAAGGCCCGTATGTGTGTAGACTATAGAGATTTGAATAGGGCGAGCCCTAAAGATGATTTCCCACTACCGCATATTGACGTCTTAGTCGATAACACAACCCAACACAAAGTTTTCTCCTTCATGGATGGTTTCTCCGCCTACAATCAAATCAAAATGGCTCCCAAGGACATGGAAAAGACCACCTTTGTCACACAATGGAGCACCTTTTGTTACAAGGTCATGCCATTCGGTTAAAAGAATGCAGGGGAAACCTACCAACGAGCTATGGTAGCTCTATTTCATGACATGGTCCATCATGAGATAGAAGTTTATGTTGATGATATGATTGCAAGGTCGCAAACTGAGGAACAACACCTTGATCATCTTCATAAGTTGTTTGAGAGGTTGAAAAAATACAAGCTAAGACTGAATCCTAACAAGTGCACTTTCGGAGTAAGATCTGGAAAACTTTTAGGCTTTGTCGTCAGTAGCAAAGGCATTGAAGTTGATCCTGCAAAAGTTAAAGCCATACAAGAAATGCCAGCTCCCCGCTCTGAGAAGGAAGTCATAGGTTTCTTGGGTCGACTTAACTACATTGCACGATTCATATCTCACCTAACTGATACTTGTGAGCCAATCTTCAAACTCTTGAAGAAAGATCAAGTAATCATATGGAACAACGGCTGCCAAGCAGCCTTTGATAAGATCAAGTAATATTTACAAGAACCTATCATTCTTATGCCTCCAGTTGAAGGAAGACCTTTGATTATGTATCTAACTGTATTAGAGAATTCAATGGGGTGTGTGCTGGGCCAACATGACGAGTCTGGCCAAAAAGAGCATGCAATATACTACCTGAGCAAAAGGTTTACCGACTGTGAAACAAGATATTCACCGCTCGAGAAAACTTGTTGTACTCTGGCATGGGCTTATCGCCGGCTAAGACAGTATATGTTGACTCACACTACTCTATTGATTTCTAAGATGGACCCTATCAAGTATATCTTCGAAAAGCTAGCTCTCTCCGGACTAATAGCTAGACGACAAATGATTTTAACTGAATATGATATCCAGTACACTACACAAAAGGCCATCAAAGGAAGTGTATTGACAGATCATTTGGCACATCAAGCTGTTGACAACTACCAATCCATGAACTTTGAATTCCCGAATGAGAATATCATGCTAGTAACTGACTGCGAAAAGCTTGGACCGTATGATGGACGTGAACAAGGATCCCGATGGACTATTTTTTTTTATGGAACTT